AACAAGGCTCAGATTTACGCAGTCATAAAACCTTTCCATGCCAACTTTCAAGTAAATTTGGATTTATTTATACTTTGCAGAGGAAAACAATAACTTCCTGAGGATCTTTGCATCTCCAAAAACAATGGCAGTTGCGGATGTGCTTACATTTAGGTTCATTAAAACCTGAAACTTAGAACCAAATGGAGTGGGAGTTACAAGCTCCCACAGACAAATGGCGGAGAAACTACAAACAAGCACTAGCATACCTTGATGAAGCTTTCTTCACCAATTTTGTGTGTGTGTGTGCAGCATCTTCCACTCAAGAAAAAAGAACTAATGAAAGGAAAAATGTAAGTATTCTAATTCCAAATAATTCTGGACCGCAACCAGTCCACCACATAATAAAGAAAATGCTAATGTTAACAACAGTAATATTCTTACGATGAATAAAAACCAAAAATCTGCACTAATTCTGCTGCATCTGAGAATAGCCTCTAGAGTGCATTCTTCACAAGGTCTGCCTGTGGCATAGGAGGAATGGAGGTAATAGCTAAAAATTAAAGTTTCTTTTTGACGTTCTTCCATAATGGAATTGCTTTTAGCTGAGAGATCTCCTCCATCTCATGACTCAGTCTTCTGTTTTTTATTTATGTGGTCCCTCATTTAAAAAAGCATAAATACTTGAACAACAGTTGGGACACTTTTCTGTCTGGCATAGGGTCACAGTTTAAAAGAGATCCAACAGTCAGTGCAGACTAAGTCCATCAAACCTCCTGGACATGGTCAGAACAACTCCAAGTCTTGCACCTGGCACATTAACTGGGCGTATTCGTCAGTGTGCTAAGCATATACAGGATCCATATATTGTATATGGATCCTTAATAACCAGATTTCTTTCCACTGGAATCTAACAGAGCTATTTCTTTCTCCTGAATTTACAGAGAAAGGAACTTAAACTGAAACCTGAAATTCATCTGAGATGAGACAAAGTGGTGCTGGTGGACTGAATGATGAGTCATGACTGATTAGCAAAGCCTGTGTCTGTAGCCCCTGCTGACAGCATCTATCACGCATTGACAAAAAGGTCCAAAACCTTGTATCTTACATTTGTTTCTTACCTTCTTGGCTGAAAGAAACTCAGAATGACTTTTTCTCAGCTTCTCCTAGGTGATACAATGTGTCTTTGCCTCCCAGAGGCAGACCTCACCAGAGATACAGAGAGTTTAGTTATGAATAGCTTGATTGTAAAGGCCACTGAGAAATTTTTGCTAGTGAAAAATACAGCTGTCTGCTTTATGAACAAAATCATTAGATGAGATGATAATACAGGTGTGCTTTGCACTGTCTGCTAGTAATTAGTCTGCTTGCTGCTAGACCAAGAGGTAGCTGCTTCAGGATGCCAAACAGCCTTGAATCCAGCTGCCTCAGCTCTGTCTAGACATCCTTCCCTATGTGGGTTCTGACCCCTGGTTATTTGAGGTAAAAAGAGGGGGAGTATCTGATTCCAACATTTGCTGATGAACAGCCATTTATATAAACCAGGATGAGGGTATATGCACTCCCATCTTACCCCAAGATAGGGCCCAAATGTAAGCGAGGTCTGGTACTGCATGTGCATCAACATCTTTTCTGAAAGGTACCACACCTGATAACCCACATTAAACTCAGTGAAAAGAGTCTAAGGCCAGAAGAACAAACATATCTTCAAGCTTTATTAATCTCTTCCCTCCTACCCCTCTGTTTAGCTGTACCACATCTGCTACAAATCAGAGAATCCAGACCAGAATTTTCTCCATAGCTAATTCTTACTTCCTCTCAGAAACTTGGGTCAGAAGCTCTCTGCAGTGCCTATAGGGACCTCAGCCCCACATTCTTAAGGTGCTACCAACTCTAATGTCAATAAAATTATTTTATGAGCACTGAAATAGAAAATTATTAGTAAAAAACATTTACATACAACAGTGCAGCATGGTTTGGCTAGAGAAAACAGTACCTATATAAAGCAGGCCGAATGAAGAGAACAAGCCCTTAAAAAAATCCTACAAAAGGAAAAGAAAGAACTGATGAAGGCTAATCTAAGCTTCAAACTACAGAATGCTCAAGTCACAATGCATTGGAAGTTAATGCACCACCACTGCGCAATGAAACTAAAGATATCCAGGTGAGGTACTCTGTCCTACACATTGTGTTCGAAAGAGTCATTGCAACACATTCTCAGAAAATAGCACTTCTGGGGAACCTATGCAAGTAGAAAGGACACAGAGTGAAAAGGCCATTAGCAATCCAAAGGCCAACTCTTAGCTGTCTACCTGTCAGTATGAGATCGGATTAGAAACTGTGGAGTAAGGATAGTTACTGTTAGATTAGTACACACACAATGAATCTCAGCATCCCAGCAATAATGTATTATTTTTCCTGGCTATTAGCCTGGATTTTAATTAGTTTGTGCTAATGAATGAATTTGTACATGTCTATTTTTTGTTGGCAGCTCCTAGAGAAGCTAGAAAATTGGTCACTGTGGAGTGCCCATGTTTCACTATAAACTAACATATAATTAATGCTTTCCCACCCCGAGTCAACAGCAGTCTCAGGGGGTTTTAGGTATAAATTAGAATGAAAGATGAGATACTCAGAATACAGTTAGAGTACTCATTCGTCAACCATGATTAAATAATGTTACTGTGAGACCCTAGAGAAGTGCTGAGAGCCAAGTTCCAGCTGCTGGGCTACCCACAAAATGCCCAGGAGCTGCCAAAGCACCCTGCCCTTATTTCCGCTGTGACTCTTCTTGAGAATTCCTCCTTGGAAAATATGTATTTTTCTCAGTCATTCCTATTTGTAACCCACTGTAGGCTGGGGAAAAAATGAACCAAGTGTGCTGGACCAAAGCAAATGCTTTTGTCACGTCCGTTATGCTAGCTAACGAAGACGTCAAGCCAGCAACTATTTGGATATTTTCACATTCAGATTTCCACAGAGAAGAATTGCTGGAAGAGCTGATATGAGGTCGCCAGAGTCATACCAATCTAAATAAGGATAGAGTTGCTTGAGATTGGATTAAGGAGAAATTAAATGCCCAGGTCCAAAAATGACATTCTGAAAAATCCTGTCGAGCATCCATTTAATTATAGAGATATACAGGCTCTGTATATTTTCGATATTGCATATATTTCATTTTATATTGTATATCTTTTATTTTAGTATTACCCACAAATTCCTCAGCCTTGATAGAGACAAGCAAATCAGAAGTCATTTTATGCCAACATCAGATTAGGGTCTATAAACACCAGGCTCTCCAAAGAGGCTCATTCTGATAAGTACAATGTCGCAAGAGAATACATTTCTCTCTGTTGACAAGAAGCAAAGCTTTAGGTGTCTCACAAAGATGTACACCAATACAGCCAGGCAAGAAGAATTTTACCCCTTATCTATAGACAGGGACAGAGTTTACTATTATTAATCCTAATACCTCTTGTTCATCATAGGAACTCGAGACACACATGGGCTGAAGTCCCACTTTGAGACACCCTTTTCTTACATTGTACAGCCAACCTAGGCACTTTACATAAGGTCCTGAAATAAGCTCTGAGCACTGGGACTGAAAGTGCGGTGTTGTGCTGGTTCATGTTTTAGCATCTAATTCCTTTTTGAAGCCTTAACTGGTCAGTAGCTCAGCTAACGACCAAATTTTAATCACGCCTGTAACACTCCCGCTGTTCTAAATTCTGATGCCTGCTTACACAAGGGAGCTTGATAACATCAAATTACAAGCTAATTTTGGAGCATCAAGCTAAGTGCATTAAGACAGCTGTGTGCTAGAAATTAAAATCTTAAAAACTTCAGAAAAAAATGATTAATCATTTAACAAATTGCTAACAGACAAGGAACTTTTAAGTGGAAAAGCATTTTCATTTTTTTTACAAAACCAAGTCTTCTGGAAAAGAAAAATAACAGAAGTCAGCTGTATGAAGTAAAGCAGACAGTGTGTACAGTCAAAGAGAAAAGTCATGTTTCTACAACAGTAAATCCTGGTAACCACTGTTGTGCATTGATTGTGCTCCCCTTTCATTTTTCACTTCTACTAAATTAAAAAATATGCTGCTGAGCTACACCTACCTCTTGTAGCCTTTTAAGCATCTATTGTTAGTGTCCAGAAACATGTAGAGAAAGATCTGCAGCTTGTGCAAGTCAGTCCAGCTCCACGGACTTTCAGTGTAACTACACTAGCTTACATATGCCATTGGATCTACTCCTGATACAGACCCAAACCATCCTTGATAACGTAGGGACAGATTCATTTGAAAGGTAACATTGGGTTTATTAGCATTGACCTGGGTCCTTCATTTGTGTTCCTACCAGCAGCAAAGCAGAACTAAACATTCCTCTTTCCCAGAGTATTGATGACAGCACATTTTCAAATGAGTGCACATTTGTGGAAGTGAGCCAGTGTGTGTCAGCTACGTGCCATGGAAAGAAATCTTGTTCTCCCTGGTGCATAGTGAGGCAGCACACTGATAATTAGACTGATTTCCAAAAAAAAAAGATGGCACTTGTCAAAGGCATAATTTCAGTTCTGCCTTTCCTCATTAACGCTTGACGGGAACACCAGCATAGATATGAGTCATCAAAAAGAAAAAACCACCAGTATCACCAGAGCTTTATTATTATTTTCTTAATTTACAACTGACTGTTTTTTTTTTTTTTTCCTAATGACCTAGCCTAATTCTTGCAGACCAGCTTCTCATAAAGGATTAGGACTCCTTATTGGGATTGCATGGCAAGTTTCTGGTAGCTAGAAGCCTACAGAGGTGGCTTCTAGAAGCTTCCCCTGTATCCAATAGAGCCAATGTCAGCTAACTCCAAGACAGACCTGCCACCGGCCAAGGCTAAGCCCAGCAGCAACAGTGGTAGCACCTCTGGGATAACAGACTTAAGAGGGAGGGAGGTGGGAGGTGGGAGAAAACTCTGAGACAGCATGTGAATCTGGAGAGGGGAACGAGAATATCGAGGGAAAAATCTCTGCAGACACCAAGGTCAGTGAAGAAGAAGGTGGTGCTCCAGGTGCCAAAGAAAGATTCCCCTACAGCCTGTGAGGACAACCATGATGAGGCAGACTGTCCGCCTGCAGCCATGGAGGTCCATGGTGAAGCAGCTATCACCTGCAGCCCATGGAGGACCCCACACCAGAGCAGTGGGATGACCAAGGAAGGCTGTGACCCCTTGGGAAGCCTGTGCTGGAGCAGGCTCCAGCCAGGACCTGTGGCCCCACAGAAAGAGGGGCCCATGCTGGAGCAGGTTTGCTGTAGGACTCGTGATCCAACTCAAGTTGGAGCAGTCAGTTTCCAAAGGACTGCACCCCGTGAAAGGGACCCAAAGCTAGAGCAGTTTGAGGAATACTGTCCCCCATGGGAGTGGCCCCACACTGGAGCAGGGGAAGGCATGAGGAGTCCCCCCCTTGAGGAGGAAAGAGCAGCAGAGACAGTATGTGATGAACAGACTACAGCCCTCTTTCCCCATCACCCTGTACTCCTGGTGAGAAGGGGGTAGAAAATTCAGGAGTAGAATTAAGCTGGGGAAGAAGGGAGATGGGGGAGGGTGCTTTTAAGATTTGGTTTTATTTCTCATCATCCTACTCTGACTGTTAATAAATTAAACAAGCCACAATCAATGCAAATATATACATTATTATATATATAATATATACATTTATATATATTAAAAAACAAGGACAAAGGAGTAAATCAAGATCCTTGTGGGCATTCTGAAGAAGCTCGGGTGTCAAGACTTCAGCAGTGTTCTTTCTACCTTTAATTTTACAGACTCCATTCTTCCAGGCAATTTCACTCAGCCTCTTTGTTCTCACTGAACCTGGTTTTCCTGACAATACAGTAAGCTTTTGCCAGCAGACAAGTTTCCCAAGTTGCATGCAGGCACTGTGTGCAAAACAAAGACGCATAAATTAATCAAGTTATTCCTGTAGCAACCTGGAAAGAGATGTGCTGGGGAAAAAATTGTTATTGTGATCTCTATTTTTAAATACTTGGAAGACACTCGGTTACTATGGTGGTGAGGACCATATAAGTACCTAGGCAGATTCACTTGTAACAGGAGTGTTAAGTGTGAAGGCTTCTCCATCTTAAAGACGCCAGCTAGCTCTGGTACCTTTTCCTCTAAGGGAAAAGGCATAAATATATTTTGAAACAATTTCATATTTAGGTCCTTAAAAAATGAATTTAAAAAGCTGACATCATTATTCTATGGCTGTGCTTCCCTTGTTTGCTTTTACCCTATGGGACTTCTGCATTTAATTTGCTCTTCTGGTACATTTTCATCAGATAGGAAACCTCTCTTTTCCTCTCCAGAGCAGTCTCAGGGGGGAAAACAACCCCAAAACAAAAAGCAAAACAACATGTGAGAAAAAGCTGATTAATTGACATTATATCAGCATACACAGACATCCTTCATGAGCATAATGCTATACCCTGTGTCAGTAGATGGACTTATTTGGTAGTGTTGAGAGTAGTTATAAATGATACACAAAATGAAAACTTGCGGGGGATTTCAAAGACAGGACATTAGCCAGACTACATGAGCACTACTGGCTCTGCTAATTGATTAAGCTTTTAATACAACGCTGGGTTGTGGGGTTTGGTTTTCTTTTTTTAGAAAAGATGCTTCTGCCTAAACATTTACAATTCTTATTACCAGATGAAGTGCAGCAGTAACACACAGTATCAAACCAGACTTGTCAGGTAACAAAAATAAGAACAGCATCTGCTCTCTTACAACTATGACTTCAATTTAGATTAGGTATATTCATTACTTAAAACTCTACCAGAGGATCCTCTCCATGAAACCAGATCGCTACTGCATGTGTACAGACACGTGGGGGAAGGTGAAGTTTCAGTACAGAAGGTGTCTATCCCAAACATGCAAAAACTATTGCTTTAGAAGTTTTTGTTGCTGGATAAACATCAAAAGTTGTTAATATGAAGATTTTTGCAAGCAATCCTTCATTGTCATCACTGCCCTAAATAAATAAGCACACATTATTCCTCTGGAGAGAACTTATCCTCTGGCCTCAAGAAATGGAAATTCACCTAGGAGAAGAAATGAAGTTCATGTATAACTTCCCACTCTTCCTTTCGGTATCCTCTCTAGGGAAGATCTGTGAACAGTCGGAGAGCCTTGTTATTAAAGGCTAGATCTGCCATTTGCTGAAACATGCTTGCAGCCTGAAGATATGAACAGACTCCCTGACAAACAGGCCAGTCTGGGGCAAGGAAGGGATACAGGCCAAGAGAGGACCTGAAATATGTTTGGGTTGGTTATGGGCTTGTGTTGCTGTCCCCAAGAAAGTGCCTGAAATAAAACTCAGCAGATAAGGTTACCTGTACTGTTTTTGCTATATATAGCTATGCCTTAAGATGGCATTTGTCTAGAACTCTTTACTTTGAATTTTTCTCCTATTTCTCATCTGAAACATTCAACTACAGATCATGGTATTGAGCTCACAAAGGATTTTTATTTTTTTTTTTACACCTTCTTCTAAGCCTGAGCAATCTCTATATGAGCAAATACAACTTAGGTAACTATGCTGTAGGTTCAAACACTTTTGGACTTAGGCTTTGTGAAGGTGTTATTTGGTGGTTACATCTAGGAACACTGCTGAGACAGACTTCATATTTTAAGGGATAGGGAATGAGGTGAAGCAAAAATTCTCATCTCACCCTTAAATCCTCACTAATACTAGATTTGTTGTTTGAGATGGGACACAATTTGGCTCTGGATATAGACTGGAAGAAGAGGAGAGACACACTGCATTACTGGCTTTGAGACTGTATTGTGTGAAACACCACTTTCAAGGGACAAGAGAATTTTAGCAAACATTATAATGCAAAGAAACAAGAGGACAAGGTAAATTTCCTCCCAACATTCAATCTATTACCCAGGAAAACTCAGTATTAAGTAGTTTCCTATAGTTCTCCCCATTCTAACTTCTGATTAGTGCAGTATGGGTCCAGTATCACAGAGAAGCAGTCTGAAAGGGTGGGGTTTGTGTTTCCTTTGGGGGTGGTTTTCTGTGTTTGGGATTTTTGTTGTTGTTGGTTTTATATTGATTCAGCAGTTGTTTGCAAGACCTATTTTATCTTTACCACAAAAGATTGTTTGTGTGGCAAAAGACAAAACACATGAGGCATTGCATTGCTACAGCGCAGTCACTGCCCTTTCCTGTAACTAAGGAAAATGACCTCTAGACCTGGGCAGATACAGCAAACCATGTTCCATGAGATCCTTTGAATATTTATACAAGTTGGCCTCATGTGTTCCCTCCCTTTCCAAAAGTTTTTTCCACAAGTTTATTTGTTGGGCTGCTCCCAAACCCAGTATATTTTTACCTAGTCTTTGGAGACTATTAGTGGAAAATTAATTTCAAGTTCTTTAATAGATATTTATATTAGACCATCTTACAATAATGATCCTGGCCTCTTGCCGGGAATTAAAGCTCTATTAAGCTAAGCACTCTACATAAATAACTATTAAGATGATCATTCACTGTCAGACCAGGCAAGATTCTTTATTCCTGAGTGCAGTGTGCACTGAGTGCAAAATTTCACAAGAAATTCCTTGAGTAGATGAGATGGGTAAATGGACTGTTGATAACACTGCAAGATTCATATCCCTCTACTGGGAAAGCTTACTAGAGAGGGATCTATCTCTATTCTACCACACATTATTGTTTTACAGTTCTTTACCATTACAGTCGGTGCTTTCAAAAAGCATTCTGATTTAAGTGACTTTAGGTTACTCTATTTTAGGTGTAAAGATAAGAATTTTACTCTACTATTTTTATCCTTGTGTTAGAGGCATCCCATGGCATACTGTACAGAGAGAAGGACATGCATTTACTTATAGTTTTCAGATCACCCCAAAGCAGAAACCACTGACAAGACAAATGCTTATGAATGAGTAGAAACTGAAAATAGTTTCACCTCCAGTACAACTGGACATCTTGCTGTGATTGTGTATGCCTAATACACCATGATATGTAAATTCATGCAAACCTATTCATTTTCATTTCACTCATACCCAGGAAGTTATAGAATTCATCACATGAAAGCATGTATTTTGGTATTATAAATATTCATATTGCTAAATGATAAATCTGCTATTACAAGAAAATTATTAACAAATATCAATTAATAATCACATGTCTTACGTACCTTCAGAAGAAAGGGTGAAATCTATTAATAGGAAAAGAGCGATTCTAAATTTGAAGATAGAAATAATTGGTTCTTGTGCAATTATTTCCCTGCCAGTTGTGCTAGTCTATAAAGAGTAGACTGTATGATACCAGCTTGCAAATTACATAGAAAAAAAAAAACCACAGGGTAATGTGAAACAGAATGAGAAGTGACAAGTGTTAACCTACAAAGGAGCCTTGCGACATTGCCAAGGTAAGAAGAACAGTAAGGTAGGAACATCCTGTTTTCATTTAGGATGCATTTGCAAGCACAATAGACTAGATTAAAAAAAAAATAAGTATAAAGGAAATTACAGCTTCTTATCCCACTGACTCTATTAGAACAAGTCAGATTCATATAGCAGGATGTGCATGGGGATAGTTCTTCTGTCTTCCCTTTAGATTTTCTACAGCAGAGAACAGTATTATATAGTAGAGTTTACAAGTTAAGTTTCTTATGGCATACACAAATAAGCATGGCTCAGCTTTCAGGTAGACTGAGTTTCTCCAAGACCCAATGAGGTCACGGCAGCTACAGTTACATGGGTCCTGTATACAAGTTGTTTTTATATAGGTGTTTCTGTATGCACAGTATTACTGCTAATATTTCTTTAAAACTAGTCCTTTCACCCAGGAAAACTAGTTTATGTAATTTAATCCCAATAATATTTTTGTTGGCATACAGTATTTATAATACTGATACAGCTTCAAGAACTACCAGGTTTGCTGCTGCATAAACCCCAAGAAGATATGGTGGTATATATTGTACAAAATATAGTGGAGAGCAATCCTGTCTGCTAATGACCAGTGCTCTGAAACAGGGAGCTTTGTCCCCTACACCTTACCACCTAGCAGTCTGGAAATCTATTCCAGAAGGCAGCTGAGGAAAGACAACTGTTGATGAATGAAGTTCCGTGTAGGTACAACAGTCCATTCATCAACATGACAACCAGTACAGCTTGTGTATGAGATTTTCTTCTCCTATGATCACAAACTCCCACACTGTGGCACATCACTGCTCCACACTACTGGCTTTTCCGCAGCTCATCCCCCTGAGCCAACAAGCAAGGGCACTAGAACAAGGCAGTAGGCATTGGGACTGAGCCTGAATTTTGCGTGCGGCAAAATCCTCCACTAGAAGGGAAGCCAGCTAAGAGAAACCACTGCTGTGGCAGTAGGAACTAAACACAACTAAGGACATCATGCTACTATCTAATGAAGGTCAAACAAGAACATGCATTCATAAGTGTCTACCAAATCTATCACTACTATAAAAGGAATCTTCAGAGACTGAACTTCCCCAAATGCTTCTCAGTGACAGCAACACGGTACGTGTCTTCAAAGAGGGAGAATGCCGACTGCCACGGTTAGTTTTATTTTCTTTGATTTTGAACTTGCCTAGAGACAGGCTCAAAATTCATTTTCTAACAAAAAAAAAAAAACAAAAACACTCAAACCCCCCAAAATTGACCCATAGCAACATCTCCACTGTGTGAATAAAAATAACTCTGAAATTAGTCTTAACAGCACAGATGCTCAGCTGATTTTCAGTAGTTTCTCTTCATCCTTTAATGAAGAACAAGGACAATGAGCAGACAACCTTGCCTCCACAAACATTTTCACAGCATGACTTTTTTTTAACAAGATGAAAAGGGTTTTCATTTCTTCTTCCTCTCCCCATTTCAACAAGAAGGAAAGCTTCCTTTTGACAGGGAAACAAATACCTAACGAGGCAGCTGACAACAGCCCCAAGGAAAATTTAAGGCATGGACATGTTGCAGACTTCTGGCCAGAAAAAAAAAAAAAAAAAAGACAAAACAAAAAAAAAACATGTAACAGGATTTATATTGTGTATGTAGGTTTACAGAACACCCCAGTTTTCAGAGGAATAAATCACTCCTGCATGAGTTCTGACAGCACAGAGCTAATAAAGAAAAAAAGACTACACATTTCTGCTTCCTTGATTTAGACCTCTGGTTCAAAGTTCTGATTCTGCTTTATTTTCATGCAAGCATAGGGACTGGGGAAATCAGAGGACAGTAATCCATTTCCCCTACTGCTCCTCTATTATACATAGGTGACAGGTTTGTTGTTACAATTTCATTACAAAAAATAATTGGCATCTACTTGTCTAAGATTAACTGCACATCTGCCTGCTCATATTATGCCTAAAACTATGCTACAACTAGAATCATATAGATTTCTGAATTAATGATGCAGCCCTTTCTCACTCAAAATTCCTGTTGAGAAAAAAAAAAGAATTAAGAATGCTGCAGGATCAGTAGATCTAAGCTAAACTTGACAACAGGACAATTTTATTTGGGAAGAAATTCAAGGCAAATGAGCTCAGTTCATAATGTGCTCAAACAGTAAAGACAGAAACATGCTTCCCCTGCTGCCCAAATGGCTGACATAATTTTGCTTGCTTTCCTTTCCTGTTAACTTGAGAACACGAATGACTTTGCTGTCAGGGTACATTTGTTCCCACTAATTCAAGACACTATAACAAGCCAAAATATTTATTTCTTTTTTTCCACTCTAATTTGTGTTTTATCATACTGGGAACAACATCTACAGATTTCATTTACTGTAACATTATGCGAACAGCCCTTATGGGAAAGTCACCTCTCTGTATTAGGAGAAAGTAGGCATAAAGAAGCCTCTTAATGTTTTAAGATATGTTGTCTCAAAGAGCCCCAAAATTCCATTCAGACCAATGTAAAGGCCAAAATAACTGCTCAAGTCTCCCATCTTGGAAAACCCTTGGCTTTTCAGAGAAGAGACTTACATTCTTCCTCCTTTTCAGTAATTAATTGTAATTAGTTTACTTTTGTTCACTTTCCACATACATTATAGCAACTGCTAATAATACTTAACCTAGTTTTTTGGTGTTCTTTGTTCCTAACATTATCTTGTTCTAACTTCATTCATATCTGCACTGACTTCTGCAGAGTCCTTTGGTTTGCTATAGTACACACTTAGAATCTGGCCTCTGCTTTAGTAAATTATTTGAACATACAAATAGAAAGAAAATAATCCCATTGAAGCCCTTCTAGTTTTTCAAATTCATTCAAAAGATTAAAAAAAAACAAGGCCATTGCTACCTAATGTCTATCGTTACAGTAAAAAATACTTTTTGTCAATTTAACTTAACAGTCACCATCAAGAAATACAGTCTACCCTTACCATTCTCAGCAGATGTCTTCTCTTTTCCATTTGTAGCTCCGGTTCCTTGTCTCTGTTGTGGGGGAAAAAATCAAAATAAACAAGTGATTAGAACAAACTTGAATATGCATTTTCCCCCTTGGAGTTATGAGCAGTTATAGCCTGATTTCTTTTCAGTTATAGCCTGATTTCTTGGACAGTCACGCAATGTTGCTTTGAAACACTACCAGTCAGAATCGGAATGCTTAGGAATACTTAGGTAGAGTTGTATAACCATGAGTGCAACTGTATATAATTATCACATGTCAATGATGGGATGTGCTTAACCAGGTTTCCAGCAGTGCAAAGGTATGAGCTACAGCAGGACATCTCTTCAGGTCCCTGCTATGCCTCCATTTCCATGATTCTCCTGACCTGACTCTGGCCAGAGGGCTCCTCTTTTTGTTTAGCCAAAAGTGGAGGTAGAACTTGCCGTTTCGCTTCACTCTGTCCAAGAAATAGGCTCATGACTTGCCATGAAAAACTGATTTAAGTCACTGTAAGTAACATACGGCTACTTCAGTGCAGTCCAAATAACTATTCACAGCATTAGGGTTGTATTAGTGTAGTTCAGCTACTAGGTAACTTTCTCCCTTAGGAATGGTCACTTTATACAAACTATGCTGCATCCCTCAGACAAATCACCTCACTGCTGGAATTAAGGTACTTTAAGTATGGCAAACCACAATTCTTACTCAAAAATATTCATATATGTGTGTATTACTGAAAGACTAAAGAATAAATCCTCTAGGGCTGTACATATTAAAAAAATAGGATTATTAAATGTTGTGAATAAACCCAGCTGCATTCAGCCAGAGGCAGCACATCCTCATGCATCAAGAAAGTTAACAGCTACAGCAGTCCTGCAAACTACAGTTGAAACCTTCTCTACTGCTGGGATTTCTGTCCATCATCTCTCACAGCAGTGGTATTTTCAGGGTATTTTGTGTATGGAGCTAATAATGATGTAAGTACGAAACCTACATGTGTACTCTTAGCTCTTATTATAGAAGCCAGAGGGGAAGAGAAAGCTCTTCAAACCCCTCAGGAGAATACAAAAGAGCCAAATATGGTCTATAGTGCATCCACAGGCCAGAGGTGGATTTTTCAACTCTGTGGCAAACTTCAGTGCATCTCTCTCTACCAGCTCTGCCCCATCTCTCACTTTGTGCATTGAGACAGAGCATCCCTAGAGAAAACAGCTCTGAGTCTATAACTACAGCTGCAGTCCCCACATACAATGGAAATATATTTTGTTTCTCCCTGGAACCTCAGACTTATGACAGAAGAGAAAACGTGGTTGATAACAAAGATAGGGATTCTAAAGGGATAAACGTCTTTTACAAAAGCATAACTTTCCAACAGCCAGAAATCAATAAATCCACCCAACAACCAGTTCTGCTGAAGATATTAACCTTTATGCCTTCATTTAAAGTTTGGTTAATATTTCTGTATTTAAATTTCAATCCACATTTGAAAATAGATTTTAGGGTTAATTTACTGGGGCCTCCCAAAAAGCCCCAAAATACTGGTATTTTCTTGTCTATAAAAATAGCAACTATATTGCTTTTTCCTTCTCTGTTCATTTTTAAGTGCTTTTCAAGTTGTCTTATTTCTTGAGTCTTTCAGGCTGTGCTACTTAGCCTTTATGAAAGCTTCTCTTTCCTCCCTAGGCTATACCTGTCAGGTTTGGTCTACTATTGATGAAGAGCTGGAATATGAATCCACACATTTATTTCTTGTCTCATGATCTCCCCTCAGGGAGAGGAGAAAGTTATCAAAGAAAACTAATAGAAAACTTGGCTTTGATCAATGAAGGTTTTTCTATTCATAAGGTCAAGATTTTTTTCTTTAAGTCTGAAATCATTCTAAGTATTCTACAGCCATTCATTTGATCAGTGACATACACAGACTGAAGCCTGAAAATCTGCCAAATGAGCTTCTGATAGCTTTTCTTTCAGCTATATACATATTCTGATCTATAAACACTGTGCTGTCTTCCAAGTGTGTGCTGTAGATTTGAAAGTGAAAATCAGTTTCTCATTAATAACAGACTGAAGCTTATGAAAACACCATATACAATGTGATCATCCACATGCAAAGCCTTTAGTCTTTTATTTCAACATATTCAGTGGAGCTACATTTTAAAGCTATTTTTTTAAGACACTGTTATTATTAGAAGCTGGAAGCTCTTGCTTCTTTTGCCAGATTTCAAGATGCTACCACAGGCTGCAAAACAAAGGTTAGCTCTTTAACATCACTGGGAGCACAGAGGTCTAAACATGAGGAGGATTTACTAGGAGTATTTTCAAGCAGAAGTGAACAGCCCTCCGAAAACTGGTAAAGTCCCCAAGTTATTGACAATAGTTTAAAATATGAAAGCAGTCTGTTTCCTGTAACTTGCAACTAGCTTCCTTTATTCAAAAGATTGCTTCTAAAATTCCCCAGCATTTTCTAAGGCAAGCACTGTGAAAGCACCATTGAATAAACCTTCCACTAGACATCAAGGAACAAACACCCGAGCCAAAATGAGCATGAGTGCAAAACCATAATGATTATACAATAAAACAGGATAAACAGTTTTGTTGCTATGTTGCATAGGAGCAAACACAGTTTATGACTGCTTGGGGCTATATTTTTATACTCTGTGGTTTTAGAGAACACCAAAGGCACATCATTAAAAGCATCTCCAAAAATCAGTTACTCCCAATTTGTCAGAAGAGGAAGGAAAAAGGGCTACTGCTATATGACCAAAATCCCAGTAAGAAGTTTATTTTTTCTGTTAAATTCTCAGTGCTATACACAGTAGCTAGTTAACATGGTATGAAAACTATAACAAGTTAGTCCCCTAGGTATAAAAACGAAGGTCAAAAGTGAATTTGTAGCTCAGAGGGCTTTTCAAGAAGAATGTTAAAGCACTGCACCAGCTTTTCGAGCAACTCTTCTAGTCCCTCCTTCACCCCCAAGCCTGATTTTTGCCTTTAATCTTACATTCTTGTCTTGAAATAGCCGGACCTTTTCAGTTATGCTTCCAATTAGCACCTCAGTATTCAGGATTGTAGCCACATGGTGATTACAGAATTTTCAGGGGCACAGGGGTTGTTTTGTTCCTCCAGTGAGCCACAGAAAACCCAAGATCAGGGACATGAAACTGCCACAAAGTTCTTTGACAAACAGGCCCTTACAGTAATAACATTATTCTGCTGCTTCATCTCAGTGCAGGGCTAACAATGTACAGCAGGGCTATATCTCAGTAAAGCAGCAGCTGCAAATTTTCAAAAGCATATTGTTTCTATATCAAAGAAAGAAGGAATATCCAAGAGCAGAATTAAAAGAATAAAAACAGTGGAAAGTTTTTGTGAAGTGAATAGCAGAAAGAGTCAGTGTAGACTTGGCTCAGGATGAAAAAATAATTGACTTGACTCAGGATGAAAAAATAATTTAACTGACACATTTGAAATGTTATTAGGATGTTCTGTACTCACTGACAAGAGGAACAGCAGTGAAGTCTGTACATATCCTAAGCTTTTCTTAAGCCTTGTTTCGCTACCAGATCCATCCCTAGGCTTTGACAAAAGGAAATACACATTGGTACTATGCAGCACAAAAATGGCTGTGGGTCAGCCAGCTGTGTGCCAAGCAAACCTTTATTCTGCACTACTCTCTGCTCTCCATATAAAATTTTCTCCATAAGAGATGTAAATTGGCTCAAACTGAACTGTTTCATAAGCACCTTATTTTTTTCAGTCTTTTGCTTTGAAGAGTTCAGCTGCTTTACCCTTAAAATGAAAAGAGTACCAAGAACTACATTTTACAAATTCATAGCTTTCTGCAGATAAAAATGTTACTGTAAATATCTGCTTAAGGACTTCCCATGTTTTCCACGTAAGGAAAGCTTCCTAGTCAACAGCAAACCAATCAGCAATTTCTGCTGCTTTTTAGCCCTAAATACTTCTTGCACAGTTCCTCAGATAAGGACAATTAAGGTTGACTATATCCAGGAACAGCATGAGAAAAATTTCTTACAGGCCAGTCTTCACTTATTACAGTGAGGTTCATTGGACTACAGGCATAGGTATATCCCAAAGCATACTTATCATATAACCATTACTGCCTCAATACTCATTGTATATTTAGTTTCCCCATAGTGGAATTATGAGGACATTACACTAGCATGCACACTTCCTGCAAGCTAAAAATTAAAAACACAGGAGACTTATGAAGGAGGAGAGACTTACAGGAGTTCTGACACTTATAGGAGCCCCGTATCCTGGCCTGCATCAAAAGGAGCGTGACCAGCAGGTTCAAGGAGGTGATCCTGCCCCTCTACTCTGCTCTCGTGAGACCTCACCTGGAGTATTGTGTGCAGTTCTGGTGTCCTCAACATAAAAAGGACATGGAACTGTTGGAACAAGTCCAGAGAAGGGCCACGAGGATGATCAGGGGACTGGAGCACCTCCCATATGAAGACAGGCTGAGAAAGTTGGGGCTGTTCAGCCTGGAGAAGAGAAGGCTGCGTGGAGACCTCATAGCAGCCTTCCAGTATCTGAAGGGGGCCTACAAGGATGCAGGGGAGGGACTCTTCATTAGGGACTGTAGGGATAGGACAAGGGGTAAGGGGTTAAAACTTAAACAGGGGAAGTTGAGATTGGATATAAGGAAGTTCTTTACTGTTAGGGTGGTGAGGCACTGGAATGGGTTGCCCAGGGAAGTTGTGAATGCTCCATCCGTGGCAGTGTTCAAGACCAGGTTGGACAGAGCCTTGGGTGACATGGTTTAGTGTGAGGTGTCCCTGCCCATGGCAGGGGGTTTGGAACTAGGTGATCTTGGGGTCCTTTCCAACCCTAACTATTCTATGGTTCTGTGAAATGCAGGACTACATACTTCACACAGCCTCCTTTCCTGTGTACCTCCTGTCCAGGTATATTATATTTAAAGCTCTTGGTTCTAAGAACCCAGATTTTTCCATGGCTTTTTGGTTTTGTTTTTGTTTTTTTTTTGAACACTAGGTGTAAATTTTCTATTAAAAAAAAA